AGGATTTCAGATGTTGAAATTGGGCTCTAAGGCTTATTTGCCTAAGTGAAAAAGGATATCTTCAGATTGACCGAACTAGGGTGCCCAGCTGAGTTGTGGTAGCAGGGGTAGGTGCTCGAGGTGTTAAACAGTGATTCCGGACAACCCCAACACAGTTCCTAGCACGTTCAAGGATGAACGTATGTTTAAGTGGGAGAGGATGTAATGACCCAATCGGTCGTTTTGAGCCCTAGTGCGTCGTTCAATAGTTCGAGGCCATGAGCAGCTCCATTTCAGGTATTACGACTTGTACGCGTGGTCAGAATTGAATTTCGGGAAGTTCGGGGTTGATTCGGAAGGAGAATTTTCATTTCAGAAGCTTTAAGTTGAAATAATCGACTAGGATTGGATTTTTGAGTAAACGACATCGGAATCAGGATTCGAAGGTTCCATCAGGTTCGTATGATGATTTCGGACTTGGGCGTATGCCCGGATCGGGTTTTGGATGACCCGGGAGCGTTTTGGCGCCTATTTTGGAGGTTAGCATTTTGGAAGAAATTTCATAGGTTTGGGTTGCAGTGCATTTCAGTGTTACCGACGTCCGTTTGGGAATTCGAGTCTGGGAGTAGCTCCTATGGTGATTCTGGTGTTGGGAGCGCGATCGAAAGTGAATTCAGAGGTTCGTGGGTCATTTTGGAGTCATTTGGCTAAAGATAGAAATTTGAAGGTTTTTGAGAAGTTTGACCGGAGGTGGACTTTTTGATATCGGTGTCGGAATCCGATTCCGAAAGTTGGAGTAGGTCCGTAATGTCGAATATGACTTGTGTGCAAAATTTGAAGTCAATCGGACGTAATTTGATAGGTTTAAACATCGAAAGTAGAAGTTTGAAATTCTAAAGTTCATAAAGCTTGGATTGGAGGTCGACTCGTGGTTTTAGCGTTGTTTGATATGATTTGAGGCCTCGAGCAAGTCCGTAATGTGTTTTATGACTGGTTGGTATGATTGGTTGGGGTCCCGGGGGCCCCGGGTGGATTCCGGGTGGTTAACGGATCAAAAATGGAATTTTGGAGATATCTGAAGTTGCTGGTTGCTGGTATAACCGCACCTGCGAGACTTGGGCCGCAGAAGCGAAAATGGGCGGCTAGGTTGGGACCGCAAATGCGGTCATTTTGCCGCAGATGCGGGACCGCACCTGCGGTGGACGAGGCGCAGAAGCGGAAAAGGGGAGCCTGGAGGAAACCGCAGAAGCGGTAGGTTGGCTCGCACCTGCGGAACCGCAGAAGCGGTCAAGGGACCGCAGGTGCGGAAGTGCTGGAGGCAGAATAGTTCTTTTAAAATCAGGATTTGGCCATTTTCACTCATATTTTCTTGGCTTGGGCGATTCTTGGAGAGTTTCAAGAGGGGATTTTCATCATCAATGATAAGGTAAGCTAATCCCATCCATCTTGAGTTAAATATATCGATTATGTATGGATTTTAGCATGTAAATTGGTAGAAATTTGGGGTTTTGGTAGAAAGACCTAGAAATTTATATTATTGGATTTTGACCACGATTTTGGATATGAAATTGAGAGTAAATTATATATTTGAGTTCGTGAGGCTATGGGTAAACTTACTCTTCGAAAAATCTTGGAATCCGGGAACGTAGGCCCGAGGGCATTTTTGTCAACCTTTCGATCGGGGTTAGGAATTGTTATAGATAGGATTGTAATGAGTAATTGAGCATATATTAATGGATTTGCATAATTATTGGCTAGTTTTGGAGCGTGGTGCATCAATTTGAGTCTTCGGAAGGGCGTGGAAGGCCGGTTATGGATCTTCGGAGCGAGGTGAGTCTCCTTTCTAACCTTGTAAGAGGGAATTGTCCCCATAGGTGAGTTAATTGGTTATGTGCTCCTATTTGTGGGGGCTACGTACGTACGAGGTGACGAGAGTTCGTGCGTAGCTACTATTATGCTTCAGTCCGGGTAGTTTAGGGCCCAAAAGCATGCCTTCTTGTAATACTTGCAACCTTGTTGACAAACTTAAAATGCTTAAAACATATCGAACGTATAAATGAATTTCCAAAAAAAAGGCTAGATATCATTTCTTGACTTTTAAAATAGGAACTTGCCTTTCCTGAATATTTGCTCCTTGATGGATTACTGATTTGATTGTTTGAATGTTTTTATCTGTTGTGGAACGGGCCGAACGCCTCGGTAGATTAAATAGATGCATCTATGGTTCGCGCCATTCGACCCTCTGGCAGTGTACAGTTTAAATATTGTTGGATCGGGCCGTACGACCTCGGCATGAGTTGCGCGTGCTCGTATTGCTTGTCTTGATATTTGTTGATACTAATATCCGCTCTCCCCGACTTGAGATAATTGTTAATTAATGGATTATGAATCCGGAGATTTTTAATAAAGAGGAACTTTTACCTGTTTAGTAATTCACTTGAATCTACTGTTGTTCTTAATAAACCCGTGGGTCATCACATTAATAATATTATTACTGGACCTTTAGTAAGTGTCGAAGTTTCCATCTCGTCTCTACTTCTTCGAGATTAGGCGGGATACTTACTGAGTGCACGTTGTTTTTGTACTCATACTACACTTCTGTTCATTTTTGTTGCACAGGCACGTGTACTTCTAGTGGCCTACTGGGCGTAGCAGCATGGATGATACTTGAACTAGGTGAGCTGCATTACTCGAGGCGACCCGCAGCTAGTATAGTCTCTTTCAGTGTATTGTATTTGCCTTCTATCCATTTCTACTCCGTACGAATGTTGTATTGTATTGTTTCTTAGGAATAGCTCATGCACTTGTGACAGCGGGTTCTGGGGATGTCTATGGGTTTATTCAGAATTTTAAAATTTGTTAAAGGTTTCATTTTCCTATTCAGTGAAATTTACTATGTACAGCTTAAACGTATAAAAGGAGAGATTTCAGAAATATTTAAAACGAGAATTTAATTAAGTAATTTGGTTGGCTTGCCTGACTGCGGTGTCCGGCGCCATCACGACCCTTAGTGGATTTTGGGTCGTGACAGATATTGTATAGTAGTAGTTCTTAGTCGCCATACAGTAGCAGACCTGATTGAGCTAGATATGGTAGAATTTGATGTTATAATGGGTATGGATTTGTTGGCTTCTTGTTATGCTAATGTTGATTGTAGATCAAAGATGGTTCGATTTCAGTTTCCAGGGGAGCCAATTCTAGAGTGGAAAGGTAACACTGCATCGCCGAGAGGTAGGTTTATTTCCTATCTCAAGGCAAGGGAGATGATCAGAAAGGGCTATATTTATCACTTAGTTCAGGTACAGGACGTGAAAGCAGAGTCACTGACCCTTCAATCTATCCCGGTGGCTAATGAGTTTCCCGATGAGTTTCCAGGCCTTCCGCCAGAGCGGGAGATTGAGTTTGCTATTGACACGTTACCAGATACTCAGCCGATATTTGTTCCTCCTTATAGAATGGCACCTGCAGAGCTGAGAGAGTTGAAAGAAAAACTGAGGGATTTTCTTGAAAAAGGCTTTATCAGACCCAGTACATTACCGTGGGGAGCACCTGTGTTATTTGTGAGCAAGAAAGATGGTTCCTTGCGGATGTGTGTTGATTACAGACAGTTGAATAAGGCGACGATCAAGAATAAGTACCCGCTCCCGAGGATTGATGATTTACTTGATCAGTTGCAGGGTGCTAGGTGTTTCTCGAAGGCAGACTTAAGGTCGGGGTACCATCAGGTAAGGGTTAGAGAGAAAGATATTCTGAAGACAGCATTCAGGACCAGATACGGGCACTTTGAGTTTCGTGTTATGTCGTTCGGCTTGACCAATGCCCCAGCAGTATTCATAGACTTGATAAACCGTGTGTTCAAACCCTTTCTAGATCTGTTCGTGATTGTACCTATAGATGATATTTTGGTTTATTCTCGTTCAGAGGCTGAGCATGCATATCATTTGCGTATTGTGCTCAGAGTTTACAAGAAAGGAAGTTGTACGCAAAATTCTCTAAATGTGAATTCTGGTTGAATTCTGTAGCTTTCCTTAGACATATTATTTCAGATGAGGGTATCCGTGTTGATACACAGAAGATTGAGGCAGTGAAGACTTGGCCTAGACCCACGACACCGACGGAGGTTCATAGCTTCCTGGGTTTGGCAGGTTATTATAGGAGATTTGTAGAAGGATTTTCTTCTCTTTCAGCACCATTGACAAAGTTGACTCAGAAGGAAACTAAGTTTCAGTGGAATGATGCTTGTGATCGGAGTTTCCAGGCATTAAAGGACAAATTGACTTCGACACCAGTTCTGACACTCCCAGGGGGTACGGATGGTTATTCTATCTATTGTGACGCTTCGGGCATTGGATTGGGTTGTGTACTGATGCAACATGGTAAGGTTGTAGCTTATGCTTCTAGACAACTAAGAAAGCACGAGAAGAATTACCCGACCCACAATTTAGAGTTAGCCGCGGTGATTCATGCACTAAAGATGTGGAGGCACTATTTGTATGGCATCCATGTTGATATCTACGGATCAGAAGAGCCTTCAGTATGTCTTCCAGCAAAAGGAATTGAATTTACGTCAGAGGCGATGGTTGGAGCTACTGAAAGACTATGATGTTGATATTTTATACCATCCAGGGAAGGTGAATGTAGTAGCCGATGCCCTCAACCGTAGATCTATGGGTAGCCTATCATATTTACAGCCAGAGAAGAGTGAGATAGCCCGTGAGATTCATCAGCTAGCTAATCTTGGAGTTCGATTACTAGATTCAGGTGATACCCGAGTTACTATCCAGGACACGGCAACATCCTCCTTAGTAACTGAAGCGAAGGAATGCCAGTATGAGGATCCTGTGCTAGCTCATTATAGAGATACAGCCCCTCAAAAGGAGAAGACACCATTTGAGATTAGAGGATACGGAGTCCTCAGATACTGAGGTCGATTATGTGTTCCTAATGTGGCAGGGCTGCGCCAGCAGGTTATGGGAGAAACACACTATTCTCATTATTCTGTTTATCCAGGAGCGACAAAAATGTATCATGATATCAGGGAAATATGCTGGTGGGATGAAATGAAGAAGGATATAGCAGAGTTTGTTGCTCAGTGCCTTAATTGTTAGTAGGTTAAGATTGAGCATCAAAAACTCGGTGGATTATTGCATGCTATAGAGATTCTGACTTGGAAATTAGAAGTAATTAATATGGATTTCATCATAGGCTTACCTCGTACCCAGCGTAGGTTTGATTCTATATGGGTTGTTGTGGATAAACTTACAAAATCAGCCCATTTTCTGCCTGTCAAGACTACGCATTCAGCAGAGGATTATGCAAGGCTTTACATTAAGGAGATAATACGACTTCATGGTGTCCCTATATCTATTATCTCAGATAGAGGTGCTCAGTTTACAGCAAATTTCTGGAGGTCCTTCCAAAAAGGATTTGGGACTCAAGTAACTCTTAGTACAACATTTCATCCCCAGACAGACGGTCAGGCTGAGCGTACTATTCAGACACTGTAGGATATGCTACGGGCTTGTGTGATAGACTTCAGGGGTAGCTGGGATGATCATATTCCACTTGTTGAGTTCGCATATAATAATAGCTATCATTCCAGCATTCAGATGGCTCCATACGAAGCTCTTTACGAATGGAAGTCTAGGTCACCTATCGGATGGTTCGAGGTTGGGGAAACTAAGTTAGTAGGACCAGATTTAGTACAACAGGCAGTTGAGAAGATTAAGCTTATACGGAAAAGGCTATTAGCAGCTCAGAGTCGTCAGAAGTCCTATGTAAATAATCGACGACGAGACTTGGAGTTTTGGGTAGATGACTGGGTATTCCTAAAGGTATCACCGATGAAAGGCGTTATGAGATTCGGTAAGAAAGGAAAGCTTAGCCCTCGGTACATTGGACCTTATAAGATCATACGCAGAGTAGGCCAGGTAGTATATGAGTTTGACTTGCCTTCCAACTTGGAGTCAGTACATCCTGTTTTTCATGTGTCTATGCTCCGTAAGTGTATCGGAGATCCTTCTAGATCATTCCAATTGACGATGTTCAGGTCACAAAGCAGCTATCATATGAGGAAGCTCCTATTGCTATACTAGATAGACAGGTTCGGAGATTGAGAACTAAAGACGTATCTTCGTTTAAAGTACTTTGGAGGAACAATAATATGGAGGAGATGACTTGGGAAGCTGAAAGACATGAAGTCTAGGTATCCTCAATTGTTTCCGCTTCCGAAGGAGGATCGGACTGAGATATCACAGCCTTAGGTACGTATATGGTACTTGATTCTTATGTTAGTTATTGTCCTTGGTCGTGTGAGGCCATTAGAGTTATTGATGATTGTGGACCTGTATGGCTTTGTATTGTTGGGTTTCCTGTCTGACAGGTTGGTAGTGGTGCCATTACAGAGGAGACTCTGCCAAAATTTCTATAGATCTCGGGGAGTTTAACATTCGAGGACGAATATTTCTAAAGGGGGAAGATTGTTACATCATGTACGTCCCAAGGCAACATATAATGAATATGAGACTTGTTAACCATGATTTAAATGATTTAAAAGTCATAATATGACTATATATGATGTTTGGATAGAAAATATAAAGTTTGGGAAAAATCGGATTTAAGTTGCGGAAAAACCGACTAAGGATTTGCCTTGTATGGAGCTTTTTGAGAAATACATTTCGTGCACTGTGTGAGGTATTTTTGGGACATATTATATACCAAATTGAAGGTCTTGGAGTTTAGTTTCCAATTCACTTAACCTTTCATTTATACGACATCCGGATAAAAAGATATAAGCGTCAGAAGATGGGCTAATGCGAGGGTGCCAAGCTAGCACCTCTTTGCCTTTTCAAAAGTTTATATCTTGGTTTTAGCTCGTCTCTCTCTTCACTTTTACATAAAGCCAGACCAAAGAACACCATAAAAACCTTTCCTTAAGCTCTTCAAAGGGTTCCAAGAATACTAACATCCAGGGTACGAAATCGAGAAGCAACAACATCAGAACGATCCCTACGATGTAAGTATCATTATATCGCCTCTCTTTTCTCTTTGTAGTTCGATTTTTGCAAGTTAATTCATAGTTAAGAAACGTCTAATTTTTGTAATTAAGTGTTTAAATATCAAGGAAGGTTGAAAAGTGGTTTCCTCATAGTTAGAACTCACGGGACGGTGATTGGAAGTCGTGAGTTCGATTTTTTTCCACTTTTAGTTTTCTGTTTTGTAGTCCATTTGTGTTGGCCTATTTTGCTACTGATTTATGGAGTTTGGAAGGATAAAAGGCATGGAGAAACACCACATGTGATAGGGTAGTAGGTTGGTCACTCGTCGTTGCATTTTCAGGCTAATTGATATGTTGTTGATTGGGTGTGTTATGATATATTTGGGGTTTTTGTTGTATTAAAGGTTCCAAATTGTAATTAGGTTGGTTTTGAGTTGCTGATTGTATTGTGTTTGTATCTCGCCTATAGTAGGCCTGAGGGAGCAGTAAAATCAGGGGAAATGCTGCCCGTTTTATTTTAGAATTAAGTTATCGTTTGACATACGTAATACACTGGCGCCATCTAAGTCGTACATGTATTTCTTTGTTATAGGGTTGGCGCGCTAGTTATCAAAAGCTTGTTGTGGAATTGCATTGACGACTTGAGGTATGTTAAGGCTATCCCTCCTTTCCTTTTGGCATGATCCATATGATACAACGAAGCGAGCAAGCATGCAACTTTCACAAATGATTCTATTCTTAGAAGTACTAGGGTTGCCTATGTTTTGGATTCCCCATATGTCCTACTATCATATCGTCTGTTCATGGGTCTCATGATGTTCCGAGAGATCTTATTGACTTACTTCATTATGCATTGCATCCATTTATGCATGTATATTGACCCATGACCAGATGGCGTTATATACGTGTATAGTATATTTATATGGGGTATGGGGAAAGGTTATGGTGTTATACATGCACCACCACCTGATTAGCTGGTATACGTTTATGATTTTACCCATGGAGGCTGAGATGATATGATGGGATGCCCTCAGAGGCTTTATGATGTTATTTACGCATATACCTATGCATGACATGACATTTATACGCATATGCATGACATTATAAATGTTTCATGATTCATAGAGCTATTCAGACTTACATGTTGACTCCTTTACTCCACGTTTCTTTCATGTCTTTATATACTGATTTTATGCCTTACATACTTGGTACATTATTCGTACTGACGCCCCTATTGCCTAAGGGCTTGCATTCCATGCCCGCAGGTGCAGGTTGACAGGCTGACGGTCCCCCTTCTTAGGATCCTTGCTCAGCAAGAGTTGGTGTGCTCCATTTGATCCAGAGCTACTATTGATTTTGGTACGATACTTTTGTATACATATGGGTATGACGGGGCCCACTCCCGTCCTTTATACAGTGTACTCTCTATTAGAGGTCTGTAGATAGTCATGTGTTGTTAGATAGTATGAGTCCTTTTCAGCTCGCCATGTTGTATTCCGTATATATATGTATATATGTCTTTTGGGCATGTTTTTCCGCGTATGTTATTCACATGAATCAGTATTTTATTGCCAGGCGTTATGCATGACCTACACTTATTTCATGTTATATCTTAGACATATGCTTAGGAATGTTCGATACGTAGAACTCGGGCACTCGTCACGCCCCATCGGTTTGGGTCGTGACACAAAACGTCGATTAAAATCTCAAAATTCGGCCTAAGGATCTTCCACATTTTTCCCCCAATTTCTCAATCCAAAATTTTAATTAAATGGTGAAATTAACGATAGATTAGTGAATATTAATCATAAACAAGTCAAGAATCCTTACCCAAATATTTCCTCTGATAAATCCTCGACATTTTGCCTCAATCCGAGCTCTATATCTCAAAAACTGAAGAAAAAGGCAAACCCTCGATTTTAAATCATTCTGCCCGGTGAACCGCATCTGTGGACAAGGAACCGCTTCAGCGATGCTGCACCTGCGGAAAAACATCGCAGGTGCGGAAAACACTTAAGTCCTGGGCTTCCGCTTTTGCAGACAAAGGGTCCGCATTTGCGAGACCGCTTTTGCAGGATGAAGATCGCACTTGCGATCAAATGCGCTTCCGCGCCCCTACCTTCGCAGAAGTGAAGGCGCTTCTGCGAAAAATGTTTTGCTTCTTCGACCACTGCTGGGCAAGGCCAGCTCTACATCTGCGACTTAAAGCTTGCTTTTGCGAGTCCGCACCTGCGGCTAATCCCACCGCAGGTGCGATGACACCAGAAAGAGCCCAGCATCAGTCATTCCTCTAAGTCCAAAATGAATCCGATAATGATCCGAAACACTCCCGAGGCCCCCAGGACATCAACCAAAGATACCAACGATTCCTAATATGTCTACGAACTTAGTCGAGCCCACAAATCACATCAAACAACATCAAAAACATGAATCGCACCCCAATTCAAGCTTAAATGGACTTTTACACTTCTAACTTCTACATCTGATGCCGAAACCAATCAAAACACGTCCGATTGACCTTAAATTTTGCACAAAAGTCACAAATAACACCATGGACCTACTCCAACTTCCAGAACTCCAATCCGACCCCGATATAAAAAAATTCGACTCTCGGTCAAACTTTGCAAAAATGCCACTTTTGCCATTTCAAACCTAATTCAACTACGGACCTCCAAATCACAATTCGGACACGCTCCTAAGTCTAAAATCACCCAACGTAGCTAACGAAATTGACAAAACTCCATTCCGAAGTCGTCTTCGCATAGGTCAAACTACGGTCAAATTCCTAGAACTTAAGCTTCCATTTTAGGGACTAAGTGTCCCATTTCACTTCGAAACTAAAAATAAATCCTCCTGGCAAGTCACGTAGCCACCAAATGAAATAGTTGGATGCAATAAATAGGGGTTTGGGGATAATACTCTCAAAACAACCGGGCGGGTCGTTACAAATTCTCTTCCTATAAGTAATCATTTATAATTTCTTATGTTATATGCTATTAGTTCCCGAATCTTTAAAACAGTTATCAAATCTAATTTGTGAAAATTACCTATAAATAGGTAATGGATTTACAATTGCATCGCATAATCTATCTATCTATATTATTAAAAGAAGAAGAAAAAGCATCCACATTAAGCTAAGTGGCATCCTCACAATAGGCCAGTTGGCAATTTAGGACAAAGTTAGTAAGGTTAAGTAATAATTAGTGTCTTTTTGTATTTAAATTTATAAAAAAAATTAAATTATACATTATGTGTTGTTAATAATTAGTTACTCTTTGAATTTGAATTTAAACATACTTAACTATTTTTTTTACGAAATTTTTTATTTTATATATTTAAAATTATTTCTATATTACGCTCAATGCCATCTTTCAAGTTTGGCACTTAGAATCATCTAGTTACAACTACCATAGATATACATAATTTCATCCGACGATATTCTTCTACCGATAAGGAATTCAACTATTATGCTAATGAAGACATTACTGCAAAGATTGAGGAAGGAGATGGGCCTTCTGATATTCCTTTAGAAATGCAAGGCAAGTCTTCTACTAATATGGAGGCGTTGTATAATAGAAGTAAATATAAAATTGTTGAGAAATATTATCATGTGTGAGTGACTTTACTTATTATTTCATGGTGGATTATCTATATATAGTAATATGTCGAATAGACTTCTAATTCATATTGAATAATGTATTTTGATTATTCAAATCATCATGTAACAATAAGTAATTATACTAGATAGTATTATATGCTTTGGTATAACTAAAATTGATTTACTTTAATATGTTTGTTTACTTTATGTTTATATTTTAATTAAATAAAATAAAAATACTAAAAGTCTCCTATGATAAATATTTAAGTTCATTTTCCTCTTTAAAAGAATTATAAGACATTGGGACTATCCTTTTTGATAATCACTCAAAAGCACTTTTTAGGAAGATTGGTCAAACACAATTTGTATACTAAATGTTGCAAAAAGTACTTATTAAATGAATTGGCTTAACACAAATTGTGTTTTTTTCAAAAGTACTTCTGAAAAAAGTACTTCCAAAAAAAAGTAATTTTCAAAATAAGTAGATTTTGGCAGCTTGGCCAAACAAGCTCTTAGAGGCGCTTTTAAAAAGCTTGGTCAAATACTAATTGCTGCTCAAAAGTGTTTTTCAAATTAATTAGCCAAATACAAACTGGTTCTCACCAAAAATTTTGAAAAAAAAGCACTTTTGATCCTTGAGCTTAGGCCGAACATGCTATAACCTTGCATTTGGTATTTTTCTCTTTTCCATATCTTTTTCAATTTTTATCTCCTAAATTTCTCTTAAAAGTATAAACCACACATGTTTTAAGTCTCACCATCTCTTTCCAAAAAGGAAAAAGTCTGTCATCGCCACTTGCCTTGGTCAATTTCTTTTGTTATATCTGTCATAATTAAAAAAAATATAAATGAAAAAAGCCACCGATCCAAGTACAAGTCCACTAGCAGCACGATTTCTACTTAATCCAATTATTATCACTACTTAATTAATGAATCAATCTGTACATTTAAAATTCTACATTTCCAATTTCATTTTTCCAAATTAAAGTGTTTTTCATTCAAACAGATTCGGATTTCAGACAGGCTGGTGGCGGTTGACTTTGAAGGCTGGCTGCCACACTCTGCTACACAGCTAGATTGATAATTCAAACATATATTTCCTTTCCTCAGACAAAAATGGTATAGAGTAGGAGGATTGGGGGATTTTCAAAGAAAAAGTGAAAAAAATTATGGCTTGGAACAATCCATTTAAGGAAATGGCGAATTCCAAGCCATTATTCTTGACGATCTATGCAACGGTGTTGATCGGGATAGTATTCTCTTCTGTTTATGTGTTTTCAGCCATTTACTCTTCTCCTCATTCCTCCACCTTCTCTCTCTCCATTGCTCCTTCTGCTTCTTCAGGTACTTTAACAATTGCATTTGGCATTTTTGGGTTTATGCTTTTCTAATTTACTTATGTGTATATCTGTATGAGTTTAAGTTCTATACACTGACCGTGTAAAATATCCACTTAATTACAGGTAAATCTCTTGAACATTAGTTGGTAATCTCACAAAAATGAATTCACTGATTGGTTTAAAATAATCATTACACTATATAACTTTGTATATACTTAACCCATCAGTGGTTCATTAACTTTGTTCATTAGCTGCTTATGTCTTGAGAATGGTTTTTCCCCCTTCTACCTTATAAGATTTTGAGGTTTGCTTTTATGAGCCTTTTATTTTTCTTTTGGGTGGGGTGGGGCAGGGTCCAGTGGGTTGTATGACATTTGAGTTGGTTGGTGATCATTGTACTTAAGAATAGATTTCTGCTTTCGGGTTTTTTCTACAATACTTGTATGTTTGTGTGTGTTTATAGGTGTGTACTAGGGTGTCTGGAGAAATTTAAAAAAGAAAACTTGCATTTTTGCACTGACTTTCCAGTTTAGCAATGGTCTACGTAATTTGTTGACATTGGTTACGTCTTGAAAAAAGAGTGTTCTCTTCTATTTTTATTAGATTCTGAAGTTTGTACATTCACGAGCATTATTCTTTTCCCTGGTTTCTGTCTTCTTTGTATGAAGATAGTTATAGAAGATAGAATTTAAAGAGAACTAGTCCTTTGAGGATTCCAATATCTTGAAGTATGATAGCAAATTATTTGCACTTGTGGAGCTGAATATAAGAAATAAGAGGGAAGAAGAGGACGCAATACTAGATCAAGAAAAGGAACATCATGACAGTGTTTTATGTTTGTGCTGGAAGACGAACGAATTGGTTTGGATTGACTTTTGTATCCAAGCAGCATTTGGTGCTTCAATTTTGAGCTCTGTGGTGACTGATTTATGTCACTGCTTCACTAATGAGTATGGAGGGTTGGTTAAATTTTTTCACCTATTTTAATTTGGCATTGGCGTAGTTGTCATATTAGTTGACTTGGATACGAAAAGTGTGTACATTGAGGTCGAAGTCTGACTCATCAATTTCGACTTTAACACTGTTTGGTTCCTATAATGTGAGAGGAGTGCAAGGAGAGAGAAAGTAACTGATTTATTTCCCGGAGGTGAAGCGTTGATGATTGATTATGATTTTTTTATATGTACGGAAGGGAAGAAGTGTAATATACTTCCTCCTTTTTGTTTAGTTTTGGACAGATTGTTAAAGTTCACGTGGAAGGGTACTCAACCCTTTTCTTTTACTGCGCCTTGTCTTTTACTTCCTTAACATAGCAGGAAGTGATCTGTACCCACAACTTCTACTTCCATTCCCCAGCTCCTTCTCTTTTTTACCGTAACCAAATACAGTGTTAGCATGCGATGGATTCTATTAGTTTCCAAGAACTAAATTTGTATTGTATAAATGATGAGTGACTTCTCGGCCACAGCCATACAAAGACCATTCACATTTGGAACTCTTGTGAGATGCATGTGTGGAGAAGAGTTACAAGCAATAGATTCCAAATTTGTTAATCCGATTGGAGCCTATCACTATGAGTACTTCATTGCTTACTCTCTAGTAGTTTGGCTTGCTTTGAATTGCAGTCCTCTAGTAGTGATTGTCGTCCAGCCATTGTCCGCATTCCTACAATGTAATGGCTAGAAGACTTGCTTATTTGATTAACTTTGAAGTCTATTATTAGCATTTATAAGGAAAAAAGGGGAAACATATGACTGCCAATCATATGACTGAGGTTTCTGGAGAATCATCTCCAGAAGGCAACAAGAGATAAGAGCACCTCAAATGCTTGAATTTTGCTGTTCTCTTCAATTTACCTTCCGTCAACATGTGTGTGTTTTGTCTGTGCTAGATATGTTTAAAACGAGTTTGTCTGTATTTCCTTCTTCTTCCTCTCCACTGCCCATTTTTTGTTCTTTCTACTGTACAAAAGAAAATCAGAGCAATGAATTTCTGTTCCAGATGCAAAAGCAGAACCTTCTAGTCAAGCATCAAATTTTTCTCGTCTACAAGCAGATGGTGATTCAACAGCACTGAATCCCCAGCTTCAAAGCAAATTATTGAAGCCAATTTGGACAGTTCCCCCAGCGGGTTCAAAGATGCCAGATTTAGAAAGTTTCAGATTATCAAAAGAACTGGTTCAGGAAAGAGTTATAGGCAATGTTGTAGTTGTGACCTTTGGTAACTATGCTTTCATGGATTTTATCTTGACGTGGGTTAAACATTTGACGGATATGGGTGTTGAAAACCTTCTCGTTGGTAAGTGATAAATGTATGTCTTTCAATAAACTCTGTTTGTTGATAGAGAGGATAATATTTTGATCACTTGATTTGTGAAAAAACCACTAAGTCTGTGATTGTCAGGTGCAATGGACACAAAGCTATTAGAGGCTCTTTATTGGAAAGGAGTACCAGTTTTTGATATGGGTAGCCATATGAGCACCGTAGATGTTGGATGGGGTTCACCAACATTTCACAAAATGGGGAGAGAGAAAGTTGTACTCATAGATTCTATCTTACCTTTTGGCTTTGAACTCCTAATGTGTGATACCGATATGGTGTGGTTAAAGGTAATGCCTTGTCTATCTACTCGTCTTTTCAATCCTAGCTGATTTTTGAGAGTTTCTGGTGATTGATAGCAAATTTAGGTCTTATTATGACTTATTTAATTGGTGTAGTTAAAGGTAATGATTTGCTTATCTACTCACCCATCTTTTGAAGACTAGCTGATATATGAGAACTTCTGGATAATTAAAAGTTTAGGGCTTATTATGAGTTGTTAATTGGTTAACTAGATGGGTAGTACTTCAATTTGATGAGTTCAGGGTAGGTGCTTAAAAGAAAGACTATTTTTGTGTTCAAAAGGATAGGATTTCATTCTTTCCCTCTCTTGCAAAGAAAAGGAGTGGGACAAGAAGCAGAAAAGGCAATGCTTAATCCCCCCGCCCAAAAAAAGAAGGAAAAAACAGGAAAACCAGTTTAGGAGTTGCACTGAATATCATTAGGTGAAACATGAACATGACATTGCCTCAGGCACCATATGAAATCAAGATGAAAACCTATATTCATGATGATCAACTGATAATACTCTACCATAATATATCAATAGAAGAAAAATGATCTCCACCATTTATCTGGAAAAGAACACGGATACCTTAAACCTAGCACCTCCTTTTTTGTATGAATATTGGAGCAGACCAAATCGAAAGCAACTTATCAGTATTTTTAGTTGCAAGTTTATTAACCTTCCAGAGGAAGTAAGAAAATAAAAAACTTGTTGAACACTGCAAAGCTTTGTAAACTCTGTAAAATTATTTCTTACATCTAATGATTTATAACTTGGTAAAGTTAGGCTAGATCAGACAAGCTGTGTTAGGAAATCTAGAGAATATGTGAGACCCCAAATTCTAGAAGACAAGATACTCGCTCTTCCTTGTGCATACTTCCTGCATCAACGGTCATTCCTTATATGGATATAAAATTGTCTGCAAATATATTGATACTCTGCTTTTTAGTGCATTATTAGTGGCATGTCGGCGAAATATGGGGAGAATAATCAATTTATTCAGCTAGCACTTTTCCAGTTAACATGAATGACCTTCTTTCTTACTATATTTTTATTGGGGGATGCTAGTTTAATTTGGTGTAAGAGGGGAGAAGTTGGTGTTTCTGAGTCCATGTACCAGAACCTATATTACCTGTGGAATTTAACTTCGTGTACTATTTCTACTCAAGCTGTTAACGTCTTCTCTATTTTATCTGTACACTAATTTCTTAAGTGTTTTCCTATTGTTGCATCCTCTCATATTTTCTTGCTGTCTGCTTAGCCTGTATCTCTCTCTAGGTGCTTTGAGGAATTCTTGTTTCGCGCTCTTTTTATTTTTATATTTTATATTCTTTTGATAAGTGGAATTTTCGTGTTGCTTTATCTTCACCTTGCCAATTCTAATGCCAAATTCTGCATGCTATGTTCAATGAACAGAATCCTCTTCCTTATATTGCACGTTTCCCTGAAGCAGATGTATTGACCTCTACTGATCAAGTTGTACCAACAGTTACCGATGACAGATTGGACATGTGGCAACAAGGTAAGACTTCGATGGAAACAAAGCTTTTCAAAGGATGGTGAATCACCATGTGACTTCAAATTGTTCTTATGTCATCCTTTATTGTAACTTCTTTTGTAAGTTTGTCAATAGAGATAAGTTGGTTCCAAGACATTTTCATGCTTGGCATAATATTAGATTTTAGCTTTAATGGAGCTGACTAATCACGAGGGTGTTACTTGTAATGGAGAACAGCTTTGTTCTGTTTTTATCCAAAGTGTGTGCTTACTTACTGTCTAGACCTTTCTTGTTCATCACTATTTTAAAGTGGATTATTAGTACGTGATTGATATCTTATTAGCTATGGAATATAAGTGTTTGATAACCAGTGACGTTACACTTCTATACTGCTCGGTAGCTAAATGAAGCAGCATCCTTCCTTTTCAACGTGGAAGATGTGGCTTTTGCTTTTGATTTTGGCATCCACTGAAATTCATTGACCTATTCCTTATAGAGGGATAGGGTGTATAAAGGTGATTAGTCTTGCTGAGTGCAAATAAGGAAGCTTAGAGGGCAATTCACTTGAAATCTGAATGTGTTCTGACTACTATCGGTCTGTGGTTCTTATAAGGCTTCAATGCGAAACTCATAACGTGTCTTATGCTCCACTTTATGCATCACAACAGACTCATAATGATCTTTTGATGCACAAGAAATTATAGTTTCCTGAGATGCTTAGATTTCATTGTTTGTTTTCAAGCTGTGGCTTTGGGATTCTATAAATGGTACTATCATGTACGTTGGATGGAATTGCATAGAACGATCTTTAAATGCAACTGCATGCAAAGATCATAGTTCTAAATCCGGTTCCCAGATCTTGTAAGCGAAGACGAAAAGCTTTAGTGAGCTTGGACTACTTTGTAGGCGTGGAGAGATACAAATTTTTAGTGTCAATCGTGATTTTTGTCTACACATTTTAAGGGAGGTCCGTGTCTTTTCTCCAAACATTTGCTTGGGAGACCTTGTCTCCAAACATTTTCTAACCTGTGAATTTATTTTTTTGTCTGTGGGGAAGTCTATCGGTAGGGTGAAGCCATATGCATGGAGTTAGAGAATCGGACTCCTTCTTAAAAAGAATTAGAGAATTGGACTCCTACCCAAAAAAAAAATTCTTAGAACCCTTAACATTAGGTGTTAACTAATCTCTGCAGTCCGCGATACTTCACTTCTCCTGGGCACATCATAGTTACTGGTATAGTTGATGGGTCATTAAACAGTCCTTTGTTGTTTTATATATCCACAGTCTGGGAACCTATTGGTCTTCCTTTATTCTTGGGTATTAGGACGTCTTCGTCAGTCATTCTGTTAAATAAGAAGTTTCTGTCTTCCTTGCATAGTTGGCGCTGCTTATAATATCGGAATCTTCCACTGGCGGGCCACTGAGTCTTCAAAGAAACTGGCCAGGGAATGGAAAGAAATGATTTTAGCTGACGACAAGATATGGGATCAGAATGGTTTCAATGAACTTGTGCGCAGACAGTTGGGACCTTCTGTTGATGATGACAGTGGGCTCGTCTATGCTTATGATGGAAATCTCAAGCTTGGTCTTCTCCCAGCAAGTATTTTTTGTAGTGGGCACACCTATTTTGTCCAGGTAATTCCTCACTTTGGAGATTTTTTATTTCTTTTCTCATCCTGATATTAAAATCCTGTTGACTCGCTTGATGAAAATGTTAATCTTTCCTAATTTTTCCTCAGAAGTAGATGCTTACTCCTGAATTTTGACTTTCGTAACTGCAGAATGTTCCTAATGCTCCTTTTGCCATTGCAGGCTATGTTTCAACATCTAAGATTGGAGCCTTATGCTGTACATACAACATTCCAATATGCTGGAACTGAAGGAAAGCGTCACCGATTACGTGAAGCCATGGTGTTCTATGATTTACCTGAATACTATGATCCACCAGGTTTTCTTTACCCCTATTAGCATTCTAATCTCCTTATTTCGTATATCTCTAGCAGTGGTTCAGCATTCAATTTTCCTCTCCTTTCATTTTGCAAGTTTCTAGTCTCCCTCGGAGATGTCTCTCTTTTGTTTTTGCATCTTCTATGCCTGCGCATTGGACTATCTAACTAGTTTAACTTGAAAAAAAAGTGAATAGCTTATTTCCACCTGGCCTCCCTAGATCCCGTACGAATCCAACAACCACTTCGGGATGATGGAAGTTGTCGAAAGTCATGAACCAATATCTGACTGGACAGATGCAGTTATGCTTGAATCTTTGTACAACAACGACAATAACTATACCTCAATCCCAAGCAAGTTGGGGTTGGCTATGAATCCTCATTGACCATGCTGCTCCAATCAAGTTCATCTTAGACCCATATTCTACGTTTTTCACATTAGTAAATTACAACATATTTTGATTGACAAACCGCTACTTGTCTTTAGTTTTAAGCAAAGTTTGATCAAGAATAAGGTTCCTTTTGGCCTTAGAAGTCGGTACACTTTCCAATCTTGAAAATGAAGCTTGGACAAGTGAGCTTCCAAACAAATTTTGCCCCTTAATGTTGAAAGAAGTAATTGTGTTTTAAATGAATAAATCATATTACTTAGATCGAGATCAGACTATATTGGAAATATATCCCGCTTCCTACAAAATTTTACTAACAATGAATTTGGTGTAATAATTCCTTTTTTTTTCAAAAAATAAATAAGTATGCTTTGGTGTGTGTTAATTAATCCTTTGTGCAGGAGGGCTTTTAACTTTTAAGCCTTCAATCCCCAAGAACTTGTTACTGGATGGAGTGCACTCCATAGATACACACTTTGCTCTTGTTAATTATCAGGTAAGCAGTAGCCAACCCCAATCTGCTGTTTTATCTACAATTTTATGGACTTTCTTGCATGTTTAAAGTATGATTATTGAATTATTATCCCCTAGATGAAACAAATAAGGACTGCGCTTGCTGTTGCTTCGGTGCTGAATCGTACCTTGGTGAGATACTACCCTGATCATTTACTTATTAGCTTACATGCTTCATGTATTTTGTGAACTTTGCATTTCTGCCACGTATAGTGAGCTATAAGATGAGAAGATAAAAGATTTTGAAATTTATATGGATACTTCACACAATAAGTTACAATACGTTGGCCAATAAGCATGGCAGAAGCATCTCTGAACTTTGGATGCGTTTTGACATGATCCGACGTCCTTGTTCCTTTAATCATTAAGGCTGTTCAATTACCTTTTCTTTCATTGTTACGCGAAAAGCATACACCGTGATTTATGTTGTTCTTTGTGATTTTAGGTAATGCCCCCACTATGGTGCAGGTTAGATAGGTTGTGGTTTGGACATCCTGGTATTCTGGACGGTTCTTTAACAAGGCAACCTTTTGTTTGTCCTTTGGATCATGTTTTTGAGGTACATATTTCATTTTTTAAACTGGTACTATTTAAATGTCCTCACCTGATGACAAGAAAATTGTGACTAAAGCAAAGAAATTACTAAAAGGAAAATAGTTCTGTGCGATGAATTACTTTCACATTTGTTTTTGTGTGCGTGAGATCACATTGAGATGTGAATGTGGAGTTTCTGGAGTTTTAATACCTGTGTCTTGAATAGAAGTTAAAGGTCTGTTCGATCGTTCTCCATTGAGTAAAGGAAGTATGTCAATAGTCCAGAATATAATGTTGTTGTGAGAAAGAAGAGAATTTGAGAGAGAACACAGCTTGATTATTCCCTCATGGGCTTTAACTATGTTTACATGCCCTAAGAAAGGAAAGAAAATCAATACATGATTACAGCATATAACCATTGTCAATTTCTCTCTAGGACTATTAAGTTTCTATAGGTCCAATTTCATGGATACCGTAAAATAGTGTTGTATAAAATCTGCCAAAATAATCAAAGGTTAATGAAGGTTCCTCGTGTTCTGATATGTCAATATTTTTCAAGTTCAGTTTTCTTTCAGTAGTTTTTGGGTCATTGTTGTCTGTATATCTTAACTAACATACTCCTTCCAAATGTCAACTGTGTAAAGCATATCGAGAAAAATAGCAGTTGAGGTCATTGCTATGAACTTTTCTTTTCTACTTTAGAGCGTACTCCTTGTAAAGGAGAAAGCAGTTGTTCTTTTGATATTTGCATTTATGACCTGAAGTGCACTTCTCTGCACTCTAATTCACTGTCCAGAAGTTGTATAAAGGTCAAAGATGAGATGGATAGTTACGAGTCTTCACCTTTCTTGATCTTCTATTTTTTGTACAGGTTAATGTGATGTTGAAGGAAATGCCAAATGAGGAATTCGGACCTGGAATCAGTATTAGGGAGTACACAGTATTCGAGAATCCATCAATGCCACAAGAGGTGTTCCATTAGCTTCATACCTTGTCTACTCCAGAAGCTTGCATCATATACTAAATAGATTAATTCTCTCTTGTTATTCTTTCAGGTGAAAAAGTCGTGGCTTGATGTACATCTCTGCCAAGAAGGGTCACTTGGCTGTCAGGTTAACAGTACTAGTCAAACTGGGGTTCTCAAACTTCCCAAACACACTAATGAAGAAACGGTAATTCTGATTTATCTCTTTGCTTTTTTCTTGGACCAGGTCAACCCATCCCCTTATACCACTTTTTGGAGGGCTCTATAACTGGATCAACCTTCTCTTGTCTTAGTAATTCTGATTTCTTATCGGAAACAGATTACTACTATTGGCAAAAAGACGAACTTTCACAAAGTAGTTGACAACAGTGCTTACAAATTGATGTCGAAAATTTGCTCATTTCAGTAAAACCTGAACTAGTTGGTGATGGATTAGATATTTTCCCACTGTTACAAAACCAAGTACTACCTTAGAAATGAAACATGTCTACTGAAGTATAAGTGAGAAGACACCCAGAAGAAAAAACTGGTGGAGATGTGACAAGAGTAATACCTGATGCCTGGATAGTTTGAATAGTAACAACTAGGAATTTTATCTGGTTCAATGGCTGGCAACTTCTCCCACCCTAGAGTAGCCAGTGATTCAATTCTTACCAAGAAATACCTTTCCCTTCCCCTTCCCTGGAATCTCATTCATTGTACTCGGGAAAAGGAGGGGAGGGTAGAAACAGCAACATAATGTTACGTCTTCTAAAACTTTAAACTTTAATGAGCTCGTCATGTGCTTTTAGAAAGTATTAGTGTCACCAAATAGAAATAGCCGTTTATGTTCTAAACTTTGTTTATTATAAACAGTTGAAGACTGTATTCTCCAAGTTTAACGATGTGAAAGTAATCCAGTTCTCATCAATGCAAGATGCCTTTGATGGTTTCACGGACAAGGTAATATCCCCTCATTCTACTCTCCTTCCCCCACCTTTCTCCCTCCCTTTCAGTCTTTATATATTAGTTTTTGGTTAAATGAAACCGAGAATAATGTGTACTGAATTTGTAACAGACAAGGGAAGAACGATTCAGGAACCGTGTCAAGAGGTATGTAGGCATTTGGTGTTGTGTGGAGAATCACACACCAGGTCATATATACTATGATATGTATTGGGATGAGAAACCTGGTTGGAAAGCAGCACCTCCCAACTCTACGGAAGATGATCATCCGCCTTGGTGAGGCTTCCTGACCGTCAAGCTTGGACTCCATGAGTATTACCCTCCTAAGAACTGTGCAAAATCTGCTCCAATGCTCTTAACATCTTGCACTTCAAGAGGGCTGTAACAATGTTTCATAGAGAATGTACGTTAAAATTCATAGGCTTGGTATGGAGGATTAGTCCTTGATTAGGATAGGAAATATTTGCTTCTTTTTTTTTGTCCGTACAAGCAAGAAATTTTGATTGTTCAGACATAGAAAGTACAATAAGATGAATGTATGATCCTGATCTGAGCAATTTTCCTTCACAGAAGTTGCAGTGTCTAACATTTTCCCCAGGCTATAAGATTTCTGTTTTATAGGCTAAAAAGACCGGAAACGGCCTCTCTGTCCCTTCAGGGTAGGGGTAAGGTTTGCGTACATTCTACCCTCCCAAGACCCCACTAGTGGGATTCTACTGGGTGGTTGTTGTTGTTGTTGTAGGCTAAAAAGTGTTATCCATGTTGAATTATGATCATCTTATCTAAAAAAAAAGTAAATAGTGAGAGAGAACATACTTTTGTTACTGCTGATGCTGTGGGGTTTATACTATTGAAACAAAACAACAAATCAACAGTTCAACCATGGCAGCGGGGAGAAGAAGAATCTTCGTATCCAAGACCATCCCTTGCACACTTTATGCTTCAAATTGACTGTTTCATACGCCTCACAAAGTTTTCTTTTCAATAGTTAGATTATAACTTGTACTACACTTCAAATTTTAGTGAGTTGAAATGTTATTATTTACATATATCATTTTACTTAGCTAGCTTAAATCAATTTTGTAACATCTTTTTTTTGTTTTGTTGTAAAGATCCATTTTTTAACATCTTATGCATTTGAATTTCACGAGGTTAAATTTAATCCACAACAATTTTTGCATTGAACCCACAAATGCCCGCGTATTTTTTTGTTACCTCGAGATTATTAGAACTAGGGGTGTTTATAAAACCCCGAAAAATCGAACCAAACCAAAAATCGAACCAAAAAACCCGATACTTTTTTGGTTTGGTTTTGGTTTTGAATTTAGAAACCGATCAAATTTGGTTTGGTTTTGGTTTTAATAAAAAAAACAAAAAAATCGAACCAAACCGACTATAGAAGTTATTTAAAATTTGATAATATAGAAAAAATTTAAAACATACATATATATATATATATATATATAGTTTCTAAATTTTTTTGGTAAATGTAAATCGTTTGCATTTTTAGTCTAGTTCTTTACTATTGCAATCTAGTTTGATTGGTAATTTTCTTTTGCTAGGTACAAGAATCTATTTCATGTTAAAAATAATTAACTTTTAATTGAGTCCTTAAATTATTCATCACTATTTGATTCAATTGTCATCAATGTATCTTTGTAAACGATAGTTTTCTTGAAGAGCAATCTGTTTGATAGTGTTACGTTGAAAGTATAGTCGCCGAAATATGTGCTTAGTAGTATATGTCTCATATATTAAGAAAAAAAAAACGATAAATAACCGAAAGAACCGAAAAATTTACAAAACCGACATAAACCGAATCGATAAAAAACCGACATTAGTTGGTTTGGATTGGTTCCAATATTAGAAAAATCGACTTACATGGTTGGTTTCTTTTTAGAGAAAAACCGATGCAAGCCGAACCATGAACACCCCTTAGACTTTCTGTATATGCCGGATCATGAATTAGTAACTCCTTCCAATTTCCAAAATAAAAAAATCCCAATTGTGTCGAACTTTCCCTTTTTGGAATAGGTGATGTTTTAAATCTCCTATATGTGATAGGTAAAACATCCATGCATTTCAGCTTTTTTAATAACTAGATTCTATGTACGTGCGTTGCATGTATATCCCTTGTTAAATGATATAAATTTCTATAAAAATTATAAATTTTACTTGCACGTAGACATATTATTTAAATTTAAAGTAATTGGACATCGTTCAAACCCTACAAATTAAATTAAATTAATTAGATATTTGTTGCTTTCACTCTATATTTCTATATAATTTTATATTTATGGAATGTCATGCGACAAACATTTCTTATCTTTTCTCCACTAATCATTAAGTTCCGAAGCGATTTGGAGAAGTTATGAATCAAGAATGAGTCATATTGGTGGTGGTTAGTGAATCAAGTTTTGTTTGTTTGACTAATTTTACCGAAATTCCGTTACCTTCTATTACAGTTCAACCGTTATGCATAACATAAGTGAAAGTTAAGGAGTTTGAATATGAAATTCTCTTATAATTTTGAAGATCCCTGAATGTATGATCCTAGACAGATTAATCATAAATTTAGATTGCTTTGGAACACATACTCATCATGACACAGGGCTCCCCTCTAATGTCTCAAAGATTTTAGCATTCATATTCCGTATGGTCAAGTCACTCATGATAGTTATCATATTAACCTTTGACCAAAGCAACCAGCCATTCACAACTCTCAGAATTTAGTTCGAATCCATAATACGAAATTTTACAAAATAAAGACTCACCATCTTCTCCGCTTAGGGATGTCCAATAAAAGAAGACTCACTATCACCCCTAGTGCTTTTAAGCTCGAGATAGTTAGACAGAAAGAAATATACATACTGATATTCAATATTTGAAAGGAGGCATGGCATTGAGGAAAGAAATATGATTGAGATTTCGATCAGTAATATATCTGAATTTAAGATCAAACTGTAAAATCAACAATATCTCAATAAGAGAAAAACAAATTAAAAGATTGCAGTAGAAAGGGATAAACGTAAAATATTTTTGTTAGAAACAGATTGAGAGAAGCAATTTATTTAGACGCAGAGAAGTGTTGACAGGAACCTACGCTCTTCTTTTCCTTTTTCTTTTTCTTTTTTTTGGCTTTTCTGTGGATCATTCATAACCAAATATCTCCCAAATAGGAGGGGGAAAAAAGGATACAGGAGGAAACACATGGAAAAAGAAATAGCCGTCCTGGATTAAAAAATTTAAAGACATCAACGTTTATTAATATAATATTGGACATTAGCATTCATGATGTCGATGCAGCTTTTCATAAGCGAAGTTACGTGATATACCCGTTTATAAAACTCACTTTCATGATATATTTAAGTTTTGAAATTATATCAAATATTTCAAAAATATTATACGGTATACCTTCATATATTCTAAAACATATCACGATATTCTGCTTTGGAATATAATCCAAACCTCACTTATCATATATTCTAATTTGGAATATAATATTCTAATTAAACAGACCATAATATTTTAATTTGGAATATATTATTCAAACTAAAGATACCACAATATTCTAATTTGAAAAATCCAAACCTAGCATATTGTTACGGCCAAACGCACACGCAAGTATACGCGGTCGTCAAGTAATAAAGTAGTGAGTAGAGTATCGTTCCCACGAGGACTTGTGATTAACTATTAACTAAATTAGACTATCCTAATTATCTAAACAAGAATTAAACCTAGAAATATTTGATTCTAAACTAATTAAAATAAATAATGAACTTTGGATAGAGAAAGAGCAGATTTTTATGATATCAATGTAATGAAAACGATCTAGGGTTATGGGCTATCTAACATTCCTATTGTAGTCTTCAATTGAATTAACTAACTAATTTATCTAGTTTATTGGTTGACAGGGTTAATATTGCTCATAAGAATCTGTCGAGTTCTTACTCGCCTATTCAAGCTAACCTAACGCCTATATGTCTATGGAGTTAGAATCAACAAGAACGCATTTATAATTCCTGTATTTCAACCAAGCAAGGCAATTAGGTATATGTCTATCCTAACCGCGAATCTGTTCCCCGATGCCCGGGTTCAAGAACTTACTCTACTCAATCCTATATGCAATCTAGAATTCCCACTTTCGAGTTCAATTCAAGATTCGTAGATAGTATTCAATTGTTGATCAAGCAATTAAATAATTTAGTTCAGGATTAAATAAATAAACCAATATGATAAACTAAGAAATCATAATAAATATCCGAATAACAATAGTCATGAAAGAACCACAACCCTAGAACGTGAAGTTTAGCTCCACATAGACATGGTAGCAAAACAACAAATCATACAAAGAAACATAAAAATTACTAAGTTGGTGGAAGAAAAGATGAAACCCGGCCTCCACGGCAGCTCTGTGCTCTCCCTTCGTCAAAAGTTCCTCTCTAAAACCTTCTTCCTCCTCCAAATTGTCTTTAAGAACTATTTGTAGGTGTAAGATAAAATCCTAGGCGAAATAACCAAATCCAAAACCAAAAAGGAAACAAAATAAGCTTGAAACTCGGACCACGCGTCGCCACATGAAAAGCGCGACGCACCTCGCGTCAAATCGCGCGTCGCAAGCCTTAACGCGAGAGACACTGGCTTGCGTCACCTGCTCCTTGATTTAATTGCTGCCTAACTTGTGTTTTTCACGTTTTTTCCTCTTTTCCAATTGTTCTTTTGTTTACTGCTTCAATTTGTCTTCCATCATTGCATATCCATTAACTAAAATCATCCATTCTTATAGTGTAGAAAAGACATATAAAATCCCTACTTTAATCTCAATTTCATTTTCAACGTACCTACATATAAAATAACTCAATTAAGCACAAATATCATATAGTTTAGCATTAAAGCACCTAAAATATAAGGTAAGTAATGCACTAAAAATACATAGTTATAGCCAAACATCAATACCCCACACTTAAACGTTGCTCGTCCTCGAGTCAACCAACACTTTACACTATCCTCGAGCACTTTGTTTTTACACAATTTAAACATACTACACCAATGACCATGGTTAATTGCAACAATTCAACTTTAGCATATGCAATCACATACATTTCCCTTTTCTTATGCCATACTTCATAAATATTCATAACAAAAATAACATACTTATAACAATCCTAACCTCAAAAATCGACTCAATATCACAATGCTCTCATGGCTTGAACACCCAACATCATAGAGAGAAGTCTAATAACGTTACCTATCCCTTGTGAAACCATGTGCCCTCACAACAAGAACAAGAGAGTAAGCTGAATCCACACATTCGAATCTCATGATTAAATATATTTTAAGGACTCATATATATAAAAAGAAAATCCCTTACTCTCATAAAAAAGTCACATGTATGCAATTGGTACCATAGGCTTGCCCTTAATGTAAGTCTCCACTAATGTAAGCTCGCTCGATCTAAAATCAATTAGGACTTNTCATGGCTTGAACACCCAACATCCTAGAGAAGTCTAATAATGTTATCTATCCTTCGTGAAACCATGTGCCCTCACAACCAAAGCAAAGAAAGTAAAAT